GTCTGCCTCAGCCATCCCAGCCTCTCCCAGCTCCATCCCAGCTGTTCCTTGCCCCCATCCCTGGCTCAGCCAGCCATTCTCTGCTGATCTGGCTTGGGAAGCCTCCAAGCACCAAAGCTGGGAACCCTGAGGAGAGTGTCCCTGGTCCAGAGGGACCCTCTGGAATCCAGCCCATGCCTTGGCCTCTGGTCCTGTCCCTGGGCACCCCTGGGAGCGCCTGGCTCACCTCTGGGCACCTCCCTGCAGGTGCCACAGCCACGGATCCCCCGAGCCCGCTCTGCTCCCGGCTGAGCAGCCCCAGCTGAGCTGCCGCAGCCTTTGCCCAGCACAGACACCCCCGCCCTGCAGCACCACCGGGCCCTCGCTGGGCTCTCCCCAGCCCGTCTCTGTCCCTCATGCCCTGGGGAGCCACAGCTGGGCCCTGCGCTCTGGGGTGGCCTCACCCCACGGGCACCACCTGGGCACATCCTGATGCAGCCCAGGAATCCCTTGGGACCCCCAGGCCCTCCTGTGCCACACTGCCCCCCAGCCAGGCACTGGGGATGACCCCCAGTGCGGCGTCAATCTCTCCATCCCGCCTGCTTCCCAGCGCCAGAGCTGGCACCTCCTCGGCACTGCAGCCCTGGGACAGGGAACGTGCCCCCCGTGGCCCGGCACATGTAGGGCTGCCGTGCAGTGTGGGCACACACACCAGGGTGGTCTCACATCATGTGGGCAGGGACACCCCAGCACCACAGGGCACCGAGGAACAACATCCCCGTTCCCGCCGTCGGAAAGGGTGAGGGAGGGTAACTGGATGAACATGCAGGTGCAGCCCCCACTCGGACCTGCCGTCCCCACCCCAAATCCCGGGTGGCACCGGGGGCTCAGCCCTCGCTCCTCCTCCTGTGGCTGTGCTCCCCAGCCCGGAGCCCCCACGGGGCAGGATGGCAGGGCCAGGGGTCCCCGGGGGGCCAAGCCCTGGGGAGCCCCCCAACGCTGAGCTCTTACTTTTCTCTGTGGCCTCCAGGAGTTTCCTCCTCCCGCGTTTCTTCTGGGGGTCGGAAGGGGCCAGCTCACCCTCATCGGCCGGAGCGTCCAGGCCCTCCTTGGGGGTGCAGCGGCCGTTCTCCAGCGCCCGGCCGGTCTCTCCGTCGGGAACGCTCTCCGTGTCGTCCTCCTCGGGCCGGCCGCCCTTGGGGCTGGCGCCGCCCTCCTCTGCGTCCCCCTCCACGTCCCCGTTGGGCAGCGGCTCGGCGGGACTGGCCTCTGGGCAGGCCGGGGGGCACTTGGGGACGGCCGCCGTGTCTTTGGGGGTGTCACTGCTTTCCACCTGCCGAGAGGGAGGGGAAGGAACTACGTCGGGTGCTGGCAGAGCGGGGGGCATGGCCCCGGTCACATCCCACCTCTGCCCCGAGAGCCACGACTGGACCCCACAGCGGGAGCTCCTGCGTCACCTCGGTGTGATCGGCCCCGTGAGGACCCTGTCCCCCTGGCCTGACTCCACTTCCACACCACGGATGTCACAGCACAAAGGCAATCTCTGGGACCACAGCCCACAGACCCCCCAGGCACGGCTCCCTAACGCAGCAACAACTTGGGGACATCACGCCAAAAAGTCCGAGTCCCACCTCCTGCACCCCACACGTGACAGCTGCCACTGCCTGCTGGGGGGCTGGGGCTGCCGTGGCACCCTCAGGACCAGGACACACTGCCATGGCACCCTCAGGACCAGGACACACTGCCATGACACCCTCAGGACCAGGACACACTTTCATAGCCTGTTCAGGATCAGGAGATGTTACAGCAATACCCTCAGACCAGGACACAACGACACGGCATCCCTGGGACACGGACACGGGCAGAGGGACAAGACCCACAGCACCAGGAGGGAAGCAGGTGACACCAGGAAGACCTGGATACACCACCACAGCAACTTCAGGACGAGGACACGCTGCCATGACACCCTCAGGAAACAGGAGACACATCCACAGCATCCTCAGGACCAAGACACAAGGATGTGACACCAGGGGGACCTGGATGCACTGCCACGACACCTTTGAGACCAGAACAGAACACCAGGACACCCTCAGGACCAGGCCAGAATGCCGTGTGTGTGTGACAGGGGGGTGTGTCATGGGCAGTGTCAACACCACAGGACAGAGCAGCTGTCCCTGGCTGGCCAGTACAGTGACAGAGCAGGGACAGGGCCCCACCATCAGCCCCTGGGGGTGGCTGTGCCATCGCTCACGTGTTCCAGCCCTGGCATGTGCCACGGAACAGACCGAGCTGACGGGAGCATAGGGGACAGCAGAGCCGAGCATGGGGCAAGGGCCCAGGGCTGGGGGTGGCATCGTGGGACCCTGCCACGCTGCCAGCCTGTGCAGTGGCACAGCACAGCTCAGCTCGGCACAGAACAGCACTGCTGGGCTCAGCAGTGGCAGCAGGAGTCAGAGCGAGAGGCACAGCCCAGCTCAGTGGTTTCCGTGGCCAAGGAGAGTGAAAGTGCCGCTGTGGCTCTGCAGAGCTGCCGCCGGCACAGCCCTGCCAGGGTGGGCACGGCCACCCACCACTTGCCAGCCGCCCCAGCTCCACTGCCACCCGGCTCAGTGCCCTCACAGGGGGTGCAGACCCCCCCATGCCAGGACACCCCATCCTCGGCACCATGGAGCCGCTCAGGCACTGGCACTGTCCCCCCTGGAGACCCCACATACTGCCACAGGCACGGGGTGCCCAACCTGCTGTCACCCCCAGCACTGGCACTGAGCACCCCACGGACAGATGATACTCACAGGCACCGCTGCTCCCTCCCGGTGCCACCAGTGCCATCCCGCAGCACAGGAGGGTGCCACGGCGGCAGAGGTGGTGCCAGGGTGGCACAGCGGTGGGCTGTGGCCACAGGGACCCTCCTGCTTGTGCCCAGCAAGCTACAGGTTCCAGGATGCCCCGTTTGGTGGCCAGGTGCCAGGGAGGGAACGTTGTGCCGTCGGGGGGCTCGGTGTGCACCGGGGGGCTCGCGGTGCTGCCCCCGGGGAAGGGGGCTGGGCAGGGGATCCTGAGGCCAAGGCACAAGCTCAGGGGGGGTGGCAGGTGGCAGAGGGGTGTCTCTGTTCCCCAAAGTTCCCCAGATTCGTGCCACAGGGCACAGGACCCCCTTCCCTGTGTGCCCGAGGGCCGCTTACCATGGTTTTTCCCCCCGGCTGCCGCGCAGACCCTCGGCCGCTGCCGCCCCACCCGCGCAGGCGCCTCCGCCACCGCCGCTTCCTGCTCACCCGGGACACGGCGCTGGCACTGTCACTTCCTCCGCAGCCGCGAGGGAGGGGACGACAAGGGGCTGGCCGGGGGGTGCTGGGGACTGGGGGGACCCTCGCAGGGTGTCCAGAAGCACCAGCAGTGGCCTCTCCTCGTCCTGGTCGCACCAGGCCCCATCCCCGGGGAGGGCACAGTCCCCCAGGCAGACACCGGTGCCATTGGGAAGGTGGAGGTGTCACACCGTGCCATGGACGCCAGCGAGGGCACACGTGGGGTGACACAGACCTCGGTGTGCCCGGCACAGGGACACTGTGGCTCTGTGAGGGCAGAACGCCACCAGAGAGAGGGTAGGGCTGCAGGGACACCGTGGGGAGGCCTGGGAGCAGCGCAGGGAGCTGCAACCAGAGACAAGATGGATGCCAGGGAGCAAAGTCCCCGCTGGCCTCATGGTGAGCTGGAGGGGACCTGCTTCCCACCGCGTCTCCCACCCTGGCACTCCGGCACACCCAGCTCGCCCTCAGGGGTCCCTGGCTGCTGTCTCCCCAGGGCAGCTTGTGGGGGGGTCCCAGCTGCCCCTGGCCCCAATCCCACCTCTGCCTGGGGCTGTATCCTGGACACTGCCCCAAGAACAATCGCAGGGGCTGTGAGGCTTCCCGGGAGGAAACGGGAAAGCCGATGATGTGCTCTGGATCGGGCGGTGTGGGGACTGGGGGAGGCCCAGCTGCGGGGTTTGGGGGGCCTGTAAGGGTTCAGGGTGGCTGTGGGGGCTCAGGGCAGCTTTGGGGAGCTCGGGCTGGCTCTGTGGTTCAGGGAGGTTGTGCAGGGGCTCAGCCCAGCAGGGGTTGGCAGGATGGGTGCCGAGGGTTCAGCCAGTGTGGGTGCTGCTGCCTGAGCAGCTCCCCTTGGTGCTGCGAGGCTCTGGCAGTGGCACTGGGATTGGCTGTCACCACTGGCCATGCCATTCCACCAGACAATGCCAGGAAGCTGTACCAGCATGGGGACACGTGGGACATTAACTCTGGGATGGGACAGGCACAGTGGCCCATTTACAAGACATCCTGCCA